ATGAAAGAAATAACCTTTCTCCTAGCCCGACTATTTTGAATTCCGACGCTAGTGGCCATGGGGAGCGCTACGTTCATTCGCTAGGTTCCTGCCGGATCATCTGTGGGGATAAATTTTATTAAATGCGGTTGGCACGATAAGTCCCTAAGACGAGTAGGATTAATACGCCTGGCAGGACGGAATTCCGCGCCCCTGAGCAGGCACTGCGTAGCGCCTTTTCCGAGGAAGGTACCCTTATAAAGCCCTATCAAGCTGCAACATCGACCCAGACGCCCACCGCGCCCGCCCGCCCACAAATGGACGAACCAGCTAGGAAGCCCACCGCGCCCGCCCGCAAAATAAACGACTGTACCTGAGGCTCGTATCGTTTCATTCGCGAGGTACATGTGAAGCCAAAATTACCGTGGCGGTTACTGGCAAGATACCTACGAGAAACTCGTCCGAAATTGCTTTTCGAGTCATTAAAAACGAAGGCTTTTTTCACAGGTTTTTGACCGTCTCACCTCGTTTTTTCCGCCATTGTCACTATATAGCGCCCTGTTAGTTCTAGGCCGAGTGCCATGCCAACTGCCTTTAAGCTACCAAATGGTTAATATTATATTAGTGGTTAAATATTATGCGCTATACACCTAATTGGCTTAAGCCATCATTTTTCGTCAGAGGGTTGCTTACATACTCCTTTCCCGCCATTCACAAGGTTCGCCTCGATTCTTCCCACTTTCGATCACGAATCCCACACAAGCAATAAAATAACTCAAAAAAGCTTTACAAATGAAAGCGATACCTTCTCGTAGCTTCACACAGTGATACGCGCTTTTCAAGATAATCCTATAGGGCGCTGTTTGTCGACGGGGGGCATTTTGTATTATCATTGCTTCCCTAGTTCCGGTTTACAAATCTCACTCTGGTAAAACTTGTGAACTCTTGTGAAGCTGAAGTAAGATCGTCTAGCCACTATCCTAAAACGTGTCAACTCGAGAAACGGCTGCCTAGATGGGTCGACACATCTATGGAAAGCAAAATGCCCCCCCCCCCGACAAACTGCGCCTCCTATATGTTCACCGGAGTTTACCAAATGTCTCGCCAGTGAACTTTGCACCTGATTTCCAGTTGCTGGCTTTAGAACACCTATGGCATATTTTGGAACCGAGAAACTTGCGCAATAATTTGTTTCCGTAATTTGAAAGGTTTGCGGTGGAAGAATCGTGGCTTTTAAAATACTGAGGGATTTATACGTCATATGCAGAGAGTGGAGTCGCCATATCCATCGTTGCTCGGTAACGAAAAGTTGCGCAAAACGATCTCGATTTCGATTTCGGCGCACGTGGTCAGAAAGCAAATGTGCGTTTCCAATGAAACAACGTCATGTTACACGTATTGCACGTTGCAAGGGCAACAAAGAGTGAACTGGTCACGTTAACTGGACTCTACTTCCCCACACTTCCAGAACTTTCACAGCTGGGTTCATCACTTTCCGCTTCTAGGTGCGAACCTTGCTGCAGTCTGGTTAGACAAGTATTTGAACACGCGTCGTATGGACATGGAAACGCTTTCGAGATCCCTTCGACTTTGCAAGGAAAGTAAATCACATCCTTTTAATAATGTTGACAGATCTAGAATGCTTCACTAACTTCGGTGCTCTTTGCTATGGACCAGCAGCAGAAAGCACCGATCTTAGTGAAGCATTCCCAGCATTACTCAACTTTTTCGCCCCTTCACTCTGCAATACCTGTCGTCCTGCTGGTCTTGAGCTGGCGCCAGCAGAGCCCCCATTCGTTCTTACTGGGAGCCAGGGTAATCCACCAAGACCACAGCTAGTGCACCTAGGAATATTCGTTATGAAGGGATTCAGTAACTAGCCCATTTCTCATGAAGATCGTCTTTATATGTACCGACATTATAACACAATTGCTTATGAGCTTCAATATTTGGAGATTCATGTGGTAGCCTAACATCAACATATTCTGAGTTTCATTCGAAAACTGAATTCTGTCATAACACAAACTCCTTCATTTCATTCAAGGAATGTCCCACTAGCATTGTTGGGCGGAATTTTAACGGTGACAGCAGTCTACGTCTCCATCAACGTCGCCTATTTTGTTGCACTCGATGTGGAAACAGTCAAGTCATCCAACGCTGTCGCAGCAGTGAGTTTATTTCTGAGATTTGTTGTGGGCGCTTGCCCAATATTTTTCGCGGGGCATAAATAAAAACTGAGGTCTAGACATGTAACGTGGGTAAACTCACGTTACATATCTAATCAGTCTTCTGAACTGAAGTGTTTTTTCATGCCCTGGAGGCTTTTCTCCTTCATTTCAAAACGGGTCACTGTTTGGTTCTGGTCAGGAGGTCCTTTTTGCGGCACCACCACAAAGACAATGTTGGAGTGATGTCGCGGGCGCACCACGCGAAAGCCGTGCCCGCGACATCACTTCCAGCATTGACGCGAAAGCGCTATAGCAAGGAGTCAACTAGCTAGGAACTACTGCATGCCCACCCTAAATCATTTAAGCGTGTCGTCACAGCTCTGACCCCCGTCCTGCCCCCCCCCCCTAGTTGGTGGTTCTATACTACTACTATTTCCGAAAGTTGAAAATAGTATTTAGTTTCTGACGACCTGCCCCACCTCCCCGCTCGACGGAAAATTTTTGGATGGAAAACTGGAAAATGTGGGAAATTTCGGAAAAACTGGCAGGAAGCTGAGAACTTGTAGGAAAGCGGTAGATAGGTGTTGCAGAAGGAGAGCTCGCACCGAGACTCTTTCAGGGGGGCAGGAATCCTACCAAGACTCTCTCTTCAGGGGGTTGCGTACCAAGACCCTTCTTCGGGGGGTCCGTACTGACACCACCATTTCACACATCACGATGCTGTACCCTGTCAGTTTGTCGAGTGGAGAAAGGAAACTTACGTAACTACAAGCGGAAGCTCAGAGTCCGTGGCGATTGATACAGATGTTTCCGTCCCTTCAACATTCGAATCCATACGGCCAGATGGGGCATCTCGCCTTCCACTTCTTCGTTCATGAGGCGTCGATCACCACACCCTGCGCGGCATATTACTGTTGTCTTGTTACATGCCTCACTCACATAATTTTTTCGTAATTGAAAAATATTACAGCACACTTCACAGTCCATCTTTCCTTTATTTCAGCTGTTCAGCCAGGCGACTCTGGGCTCATTCGCCAATGTGATTCCGTTTCTGATTGGTGTGCTACTTGTGGGATCGCTCAACAGCAATCTATTCTCGGGCAGCAGGTCGGCACACTACAAAAACCCAGCCACGCCTTAACAAAATCGCACACCACAACACACTAATAGTGCTGTTGGCGATGGCTGGCTTAAACTAACAACTCTGAAGGTGACTAAAGTCACGTATGACTTTATTTCACGTAGGACCTTCAAGAAAATCTTTCATGAAAAAATTAAATTAGAAAGAGATCAATCCAAAGTAGTATTTCTGGTTACAGATATATGTACGCAGCAGCTCGTCAGGGACATCTTCCAACCTGCTTCAGTTGTGTCAATGCAGCTACAGACTCGCCCAGAGTAGCTGTGATGGCTCAGGTAAGACGTTTACGAATTAATCTTGTGTGGCTGCGGTCATTCCGTTCGAGACTGTAGTGTAGTACCTAACGTTTGAAAGACTTCAACGTCACGACTGAAAGGAAATTCTCGGGGAAAGTTTGAAGCAAGTTTCCAGTCAATCCAATGTCATAAATCCACTGCATTTGCTATGATCCTGATATTCAGACACTCCTGGCAATCGGAATATCTTTCGTGGGTGATCTGGACGCCCTGATCAACTACGTGATGTTTGGGTTCTGGGCTCAGCGTATCTTCACGCTCGTCGCATTGCT